GTGCCATTTAATTTGTGTATTACACAAATCTTTCCACGAAACAGACAGTTTTAAGTGCAAAAGGTGCGAAAGTGCAGAATCACTCCAGCATCCCCTTAACTTTAAGCTTAGCCTCACTCGACAGGTAATCGCCACACAGTTTACCGTTGGAAAAAGTGTAGGAAAATTCAGAAATATCGAGGCTATCGAAATCCAACCCGGACGAAAAATTACGTTTCCGCTAAAGAAATGTTCTGCGATGTTAAGTAGCTTAACAAGCTTATCGCTCTTGAGTTTTCAATGGGGAAGAAAGTAAAATTTGTCGAAGAGAACCTGGACTCGCGTCCTAACTCGTACATAAACCGAGTACACGTATCCCATTAATATCCCGCGCGATTCGTGCCACATGCTGTTTTACGCGGGGAACCGCAAAAGTCAACGTCGCGAATGCGTCGCCGCGTAAAAAGCTCGAGTGTCGCGGGGCACCGTGGTACTTTCGTCGAGACGCCGGTGACGAATTCGCGGTGACGGGGGGGATGCAACGTGTCAGGGCGCGGGATCCGCGGGCGAGAAGAAGAGAGGCGGCGTCTCGTGCGCGTGCACCACGGGGGAGAATACGGGCGAATTTAATTTCTACGTAACATTACACCTTAGGAGCCTTATACCAGCGCCATTGTGCGCCTCCGGGGGCGGCCGCGGAGAGACACTCGATCGCAGGACTCCATTTGCGGTTTAGCATAATGGAAACCCAACGCGCCTCGGGGGCCGTCCGCGTCCCCTGTCCCCCGACGTCTCGACCCGTCTCGTCCTCGCCTTCGGGGTCTACTTCGTTCTCGTATTCTCTCGCTGTTTGCGACCAACGTAAGAATGGGCGAAAAATAAGTAAACCGAGGAAACACGGCGGGAAAGATAACCCGCCGTGTTCCCGTCGTGCCATTCAACGTGCCAAACACGAGCCGCTGGCCATTTCCGGGCGCAAGAACGAAATCGTTCCGCTTCCCGCTTGCCAGGTCTGATGTCTATTCAGAGTGTGACTTCGCATGCAGACGCGCGCGGTAAAAAGGGCAGATCCGTCCACGTCCTGATATCTCAGATGCTTTATCGATTAACCATTATCACGCCGCGGATAAAAATGCCGCCACGCGTTCAGTTGTACCCTTTTTACCGCTGAGCTACCGCGCTAATGACACCGGTCGTTCCAGTTCCGAGATATATTTATCACGGACCTAACGAGTGTCAGGAAATGTCCTCGAAATCACCCCGGTAAATGCGCGTCTGCGGCGGCTCGACGTCCCTCGCCCGTCATCCGTCCGAGACTCATCTTCGCCGACGACGAAACCGAGCCCGTGTCGCGTCTCACTCCTTATCTTTTATTCTTACAGGGAGGCTGTGATGAGGGAAGTCGGCTAAGAGGAGCCCGCGTCGCGCAAGCGCCGGTGTAGAGGAGTACAGGAAAGATGCCGCTTTCCTCGAGAGTCTTATTAAGCCCGCTGCTGCTTCTAATCATCGCAGGAAGCACCGGCGCCTTCAGCTCCCGGCAAGGAGGTAAGAAACCTTCGTCTTGAACGACGTTTTGTGCCGGCGGGAAGACAATGACGATGATACCAACGAAGACGACGACAAGGCCGGCGACGGCGACGATGGTCGTTACGAATTCCGCCTTTTCGCGGCTACGACGAATTTCCACGAGAATAGTCGCGCGGTTCCACTCTTTCCTCCACCCTGCGAGACTCGTCGCTAGACGTACCGTTGTAGCCTCGAGTTTTGAGATAGCGCGTATTTCCGTCCCCGCGGAGCATCCGACTGTCAATTTCACGCTATTTGCACATTCGCCGACAAGCGTGAAAATACGTTATCGCACGTTATTCCTTCGTTTATTTCATGCATCCCTCTCTCCGACAATCAGGAGGTTTCGCGCGGTGCGTTCTCGCTGCAGAGATAATTTAATAAGGGCGTTCGGGCGCGGCACGATTTCAGATTTCTTAGATAGCCGGGGGGGAAATGGAGGGTTTATTAAGTGACTTTATCTATTTCGGGGGAAAAAAAACAGGTATCTCTCTCCGCGTATGTTTGAAACACCGTGCGCGATATTTTGCACACATTTTTATATTGATTTTTATATATACATTTTTCTTCGAAAACACGCGAATCCCGATGAAATCGCGCGAGGTAAACCACCTGCAGCGAGTACTTGGCGCGGCGCACACATTTGGGCGGAAAGGGGTAACATATTGCATTTCCGATCTTTCAGCCACTTGTAACTTTGCACGTACATACGCGGACTTATTTCGAGGATCTCGTACTCGCGGTTGCCCGGCCTCGCGCGTGTTGACAAAAGGATATGCGCGCGTATGTGCGCATGTGTGTGTGTGTGTGTGTGCAGCACTCGGGATAACGATATGAGCAAAATATTTCCACACCTTTCATCCTCGGCCAGTATCACCCGTCTCTCTCTCTCTCATCTACTCCACCTTGGACCCCCTCCCTCTTTCTCCCTCTTCCTCTTTCTATGTTTCTCGCCTTCGTTCTGGTCATGTCTCTTCTCTGGCTGCATTTGTAGAGAGAACGCCTCTTAGTGACCATTTCCTAGATTAAGGTCACCAGGAAAGCAAATAGTTGTTAGGGGAACGTAGACACAGAGAGAGAGAGAGAGAGAGCGAGGGAGAGAGAGAGGAGAGCAACTTGGAGTAGTCTCACGGACAGCAAACTTCCGCCGTATACGTTCCTGGAAAACTATTATGCGCGAAGGTCCGCTGCATCCGAGAGAAACTCGGCGCACTAGAATGTACGGGCGAGCGCTGGACAAATTGTCCTACGATCCTCGCGACTCGCCAATGACGGTAAATCCTCCGTCGCACTTCGTAGAACGCGTTCGATCGATACGACGCTGGATCAGTGGTCTCCAACCTTTTTCAAGATGCGCCCATTCTCTCTCTTTCTCTCTCTCTCTCTCGGGTGATAAATACTCCCGAGGCGCGATCGTTCATTACTTATCGTTAATTCTATCGGTCCACCGCTCATGGTATTCCACATGCGGTGCGAACTAAAAACGTCCCAGCCCTTTAATTATGGTGGAGCTCTTGGTTAATCGTTTAAAGAAAGGCAGTGAATTATGCAACGCAGCGTTAAAGTAGAAAATCGTGATGAAGAATCGGATTGAGAATTTTTGCTCGAATATCAATTACTTGACACATAGGAAATTCCGAGGGAATAACCCGCTTCTCTCGCAATTCGCTGTCAGGGAGCTTGTGAATTTTTAATTTAATAGATTGTTACCGCCACGTTAAAATCATTGTCAGGTAGACACTGGAAAATTATTCGCGTTGTCGCCCGAGGAAATTTTGGGAATCTCCAACCCCGCCAACTTTATATCGTAAATGCATCTCGCATATGTATTTTTTTTTCATATTTGCTCGACTATAAATTTAAGTAAACTTCGCCCCCAGTGTTTGCTTTTAGATTGTTGCATGAAAACATGGAAATACACCTGCAATCGCTGTTTGACATCTCAAATAGCTCTGAAAATATTTGCCTGTTATAATTTTTGTGCGATGTTAAGCGTAGAAGTCACTTCTCCTTTCGGTTGCGCGCCGAAAGAAATATTGAATCTCGAAAGAGCGCGAATCTCGTGCACTTCTCGAGATTGCTCTACAACATTGAGGAAATAGAACGAAACGTTGATCGCGCGGATAGATCGGCGGGCGGGCAAACAGATTTTGAAAAGTCTTGGAAACTAATAGCGCCGTCGAACTTTGCCAATTTTGTTTTAACCTTCGTCATCGTCTCGATCGTTTCGCGTTGTCTCGCGACGGTGATCAATGGACCGGGTAAAATACGCGCTCATGCTTCCATCTCACATTCGCGAGTGTAGACGCGCGATTTCCCCAGAAAAGTTATCCGACCCGATCCCGCATTCGGATCGGAAACGTGGCGTCTCGCGAGAGGGACGAGGGTGAGTCCCGCTCTTGTCGAACGATCTTGATTAACTGGGAATTTATGCGCCCTCGAGTCGACGTTGACATCCGACGGCGCACAAATTCGTGGTTGCCGTGCTAGGAGGGGAAGAAACAAGAAAACCCCGCGGCCGAAGAAGAACTTGATCGTCCTAATCGTGACGCAAACAACATTATCTGATCGAATTTTAACGGAGGCCTCGCGTGATTCTCGGCCGCGGCGAGGCGACCGCGACGAGCCGAAGCGGCTTTGTCGCCCGACCGAGCGCTCGTAGATTCTTGTACGGTGCGGACGTACGTTCGAGCGTGTTTCCGTTCAACTTAGCGAGGCAACGTGGCGGCGGCGACGACGACGACGACATGGACGACGACGTAGACGATCTCAAGTGACGAATTTACAGCGTATAAACACGTTGTCCTAGTTATCTCGCTCGTGCTCTCGCGGCACCTCCTATCTTTTTATTACATTTTCCCTCTCGCTATTTGTCGCCTTTTTCGCCGTCGCCTGGCGCCGCTGCCTTATCTTAATATTAGCAAATTTAAGCGAACTCGCACGCGTTTCGCTGTGATTACTTTCGAGTATCGTAAAGGCCGCTTGGCGGGACGAGATTTTACAGCGTGCACAACGTTCGGTAAAATACACTCGACGTCATTGAGTATATTATGAAATATTGTTACGTAAATCCTGATGGAGTAAAAGAGAAAAAGACGCGTGTAGACAACATCTTTATACTGTTATGGCGAGAAATTTATCATATGCCTCGGTGGTCAAATTGGTGAGACGCCGTGAGCGAATTAGAATCGCGACGGGATGGCTGATAATTATCGCGAACGCAAATCGCTCGCAGGTCGGCGACGATATGATAATTCTGGTCGCGGCGGAGAGTACAATCTCGTGATAAAGCGGTTTGCGCCGCGGGCGACGCGTAGATCCCCACGTACAGAGAAAGGCACAAGTATACAATTAAGCGAATACCACGGCCAGCATCCTCGAAAAGCTCCGTTTGTTCGTCGCGACAGACCCGCGACTCCCTTTTGATCTTGCCGGGGAACCAGAAGGCGAGACGTTGCGCGACGCGACGAACGGTGCGCGCGCGCCGCATATCCCGTTAACGAGATCGCTAGAGCGCGGCCCTTGCATCCCTCGGGCGCGACAAAGGGCGCAGGGAAGAAAGAAGGGAGAGAAAATGTGGGAGAGATCGGGCCGTACCCGAGTCGACTGCAACGCGGCTTGTCGCACGTTTCGCGTCACATTTCGAACTTCACCGTCCGCCCCCTTTCTTTTTCCCGGCTGTACTTCCCTCGCCTTTCTTTTTCCTCTTCCTCCTTCGCCTCCTCTTTTTGCGGCCGTTTCTTCCTCTATCTCTGCCAGTTTTCCGCGCTCCTGACTTTCCCTCTCTCTTGCCATTCGCTAAAGTAGTTGTCAGATAAAATTCCTCGGCGAGCCAAGTCCCAGAACGCGAGGAGTTCACGTAACCGCGGAGACGATAAGACGATGGATGTTGCGAAATTTCAGAATAGGAAAGACAAGAGAAATGTATTTCTTCCCCTATCCTCACCGCCCGACTGCCGCTTCTCGTTCCTCAGCTGATGCATTTTTTATCCTCGCGGACGCTGTTTGCCTCGCCTATATGCGATTTTCTCCGATCTTCCTGAAAGATAAACGCCTGTCTTCTTGACAAGCGCTTCTTTATTTATCCCTGATAGAAACTTACCCCATCAAAAATTACAGAGAGTACGACGTCGCATTTTCCGATCACCGACGCGAACTGTCCAAGTTAAGAGCACTAGGAATATTCTAGGATACGATCTTCTTCCAGGATGGCTATCAGACTCAATAAAATATACGTCTTCTTGTCAAATATTATAGATTTCCAATAAGCGCGAATGCAGTTTGTTAATAAATTAATTTCGCTGTAACTATGTCGTAACTAAATTAGGAAACTTACAGCGATAATAAAAAAAATGGCAACTAAATATTATACAATGCGCATTAGGGAAACATATAATGATAATAAATTTAATTAAGTTAATGTTCGCATTATGCTTTGCGTCAATATAGTTTGCACAACGTATATTATGATAAAATAGATAGTATGTGTTTTGCACGTCGAATAGAAACGTAATATTAATCATGGAATAATTGCAAATTATTATTATGCCAATCGTTAATTAGAAATCACGCATTATTGATATTTAGACGTGTAATTGCAAGTTACAGATTATTACTACGTCAAATTATTGTTGCAAATTGCAATTTAATAAGATGAAAACCTGTTAGATTTGCAAAGTTTTAAGGTGTTTTATTCGAGATCCGCTAACGTACGGTTGCTGCTCGAAAAGTTTCGAAATTGACATCGAAAAATTCACCGGCCACTCGAGACATGTATGATGTTATGAATTTGCTGCCACAGACTCGTGAGCTCATTCTGTTTCGGCACAAATTAATTTTTTCAGCCAACATTTTGCACTTGAAAAGGACCCGATAAAGAGGTCGAAACGCGGGGGAAAACCGCTGACCAAAATCTTGTACACCAATGCCCACTAATGCCCAATGGGCATTACTTTATCTTATTATCTTATTATATCTTT